GTTCAGGGCAGGCCGCTCGCCTGTGGCAGGTGCTTATTTTGATGTGACACAAATACTTATTTTTGGTGAGCTAGCTGTCCGCATGCATATGGCAACAGGGCTGGAACGAGAGGCTTCCGGGGAGGAAAAATATCGGCAGTGACATTGGTGGCTGGAAGCCATAGAACTGAAGCAGATGCGTGTCCCTGGGCTTTGGCTTTCTGTTTAGCTTCTCAAACTACCAATTCAGTTAATTCCTTTGGAAACTGTTGACACTGATGTATTTCAGTGGAAGTGTACTTTCAAGAAGAAAGGATCAGACATAATCTCTCTGGTACTCTTAAGCTGAATCTTGCTGTTCTGGTGAAAATAAATTGAATAGGTTGGAGAGAAACAACCCTGCGATGTTTCCCTCTTCCGCCTGCCTTTACAGCCAGATGCAGCCTGAAGGCCGTGGTGTAGCAACAAATGAAATTAAATATTTTTGCTAAATTTATAACTGCACTCGAGATCATTAATCACAAAATGACATGAACTTGTGGAGACTGATGGTACTGCTCTTAAATATTTTTTATATATTTATTGGTTTACATTTTCTAGATCACAAGGGCACTGTGTATAGCAGTTGCACCCCGTGGCAGGAGTGGGTTTTTCATGGTTTTCTCAGAGTTCTGTTCTCTCCTTGGTTACTCTCGCTGCGAGAGGGCACAGGCTGCTCTATCCTCAGTGCAGTGTTTCAGATTTTGCAGCTCTCAATGCCTTTCCCAGCTCCTGCATTAGCCAGGGCGCTGCAGATGGACTGAAATGCAATCTAGATAAGATGAACTATGCTTTGTGGGTTGACATTTTAGTGGTCTCTTCTGACCCTGAAACCTAGCTATGAAAGCAACTGGAGCACATGGTAGGAATTACTTCAACGAGGAATATGGGTTGGGTGGGTTTGTTTTCCCTTTCCCTTCTATATTTTGTTGTGGAACTGTAATTAGCTTTCATTTCTTATCAGTGTCTTACATAGTTATAGAAATCTGAGTCTGTGTGGACTTTTAAACCAAGCAGACCTCTGCCACGACCACCTTTATCTGCAGGTTTGTGGCATGTGTAGTCCCTTCCCCTCTGGTGCCTGGACCCTCGGGGGCACACACTGGGTGCTACAGAGTTGCCTGTTTTTTTCTGTTTCCTCAGGACTTTGTTTTGCAGTCAGATTATTTGTCTGATAGCTAAATGGCACCATGAAAAAAACAAAAAACCCCCCAAAACCCAAGGCAACGATAAAAGCAATGGCAGAGCAGTGCCACAGGCTGGTGTCTAGAACCTGCTGCAGGGGAGGGGTTTTTTAAAGGAGCAACTCAGAGATTTAATAGAGCAAACTGAGGTTTCACCTCTTCATTAATTGTCCTCTGCCAAGCACCTGCTCGGTTTTGTGAAGAGAGGTGCTGTTGGGAAGCTTTGCTTTACTGTTTTCCCTGAGAATTCATTGATAGTAGTGATAGAGAAGAGGAAGTTTGTTGTGGCTGTTTAATGATGTCGTACATCGTACTCTTTTCAAGTATGAAAGTGCTGCGGAGATAACGGACATAAGCTTTGTTTCCCTACTGGTACTTCACTTCTCAGCGTCCTTTCAACCTTTGGTATCTTAATGATATCCTATTTTTTACGTTGTATGTCTAGTATATTATCTCTTAATTGTCTGAGCTGCCAGCAGTACTCGTAGCTAGCTGTCTGAGGCAAAGTCAACATGACCAAGGGAACTCTTTATAGAGCAAAATGGGAGGTGCTGAGGACTCGGTGTCCACCTTATGCACATTTCAAGTCTTCTGCCTCAGCTTAGTTCTGGACTGGGTCTTTGAACCTCTGTGTGGTTGGAGCACATCAAGCACACTCCTGGAGTGAGTCTCTGGCTCGGTTCACCCAGAAGGAACCAGATACGACTCTGTGGTGTGCACCAGAGCGGAGTGTATAGGAGTGAATTGGGCAGCTGCTGCAGAACTGTGCTCCCCATTCTGTTTGAAATACTAATGGAGATGTACCCTGAGTTGTCCTGGTGCTGCTCTCCTTCTTTTTGGCATAGACCAGGGAAAAGTAAATTTC